CGGTGTTCTGAATCTCAAAGTTTGGTGAATATGAAACTAACATAAACCTTAAATATGCCTCTTCACTTCCGATATAAAGTTGTTTTGACTTCAAGATGAAATGTATGGTAATTATCTCTGACGTAACTATAATCAAAGTTAATTTATAAAATATTATAAACCAAAGCTTCACTTCTTCGGAGAGGTGAAACACTGGTATCAAAGTATTAAAGATTTTGGTTCTTTACAACTAGCACAAAAGTTCTTATGATTTAATTAAAAACCATCACATGCGCTTCTTTGCGAAAGGTTCGAAAGTTTATCTCATCTTTCAATGCCATTTCGAAGAAAAAAGGTACAGAGGCCATTTGGCCCCACTGCTGCCTTCTCATAGCAACACGAAATGAACAACGAACTTACCGCGTCCTTCACAACAACTGCTCATGTTTACTTAGTGTTCTGCAGTTATCATGATAACGATTGATAACTGCTCTTTGATTTCTTAGGACAAATGAACTAATTTCGTATCAGATAGGAAAACACACACATACACATACAGACAAATAAGTAATGATGATTATAGGGAAGTTTGCTTAAGTATGTCCTGTTCCATCTACCTCCTTAAAATATAATTTTGTTCCTTTCGTCTCCTATCTTTGCTCAAAGGTCTCGATATCACCACAAAAAGTTGTTTGATTCATTAGCTATCCCTTTTCTGAGTGTGCTTATTCCTGTCAGGACTAGCTGCATCTACCGTTTTGGCAGGGGGCATTTTGATAGCTGCTAATAGTTAAAGCTCCTAATTCTATGTTTAGCCGCAAGAACCGCAAACTGCGGTGAAGCCCAAACCTCGCATTACTGTAGCTAGAAGAACTCCAGGTAATCATCTTCCTTTCGATTAGCAACAATTCAACAGCGATTCGTTTCCACTTCAGAAACACAAGCGGTTGTTAGTGAGTTGATGGAAACAGTTGGGAAAACACAAGGCCGAGTGTTACTCAAGAAGGAAACGCAACCTGTCACAGTTTACCTCAATGAGAATTCGCCACCAGAAGATGTGCTGACATGGCTGCAGGAGAAGGGCTTCAGTATGAGGTGAGCTGATCCCGTCAGTGCTGCGATTATATGAGAATACTGACATATAGGGTGATTGAATTGCTCGAAGGACAGGATGGTGCAAATTTGTTTGCATTGAATAAGAGCAGTCTGATGCAAGCATGCGGAAGGGAAGAAGGAAGTCGCCTGTACAGTCAGCTGCTTGTTCAAAAGAAAAACAGCAATGTGAGCGATTTCATTACTTTTGGAAAAACGATAATTTTGGCTCTGCATACTGTATTTTTTTAGCCATAGAAACTCCTGTGCTAAGAGTAATCCAAGAGCATAATGTAGTCACAAAAGAGAAATCTATCTATCAGTTTGGATTATGAGTTGATCCTTTCAGTCCAAGTAAACGCTCCTACTAAAGCTCCCTACGATGTTACAAGCACCGATTACGTGTGTAGTGGCCTTAGATACGGAGTAATAAAGAGTATATTAAAATAATTATGATTAGTATTTCTAGTACCAAACATATACAAATGCGGAGCTCAAAGCGATACTCAATTATCGTCGAAAGCATGTCGAAGTGACCAATGAAGCACCGGATGAGGAGCCGAATGTCGTTCCCGTGTAAACTGATATGTAGCTATACCTTTTATTTCCTGTTGATATTCACTTCCAAGAATAATTCTCGTACAAACTTTAAAAAGTTGCAAAAGTGTTTTTCACTACTGTGTCTTAGAAACTCTATAGAATTTTTATATCGCTCAATCAGTGTGCATTACTTGTCCTATGGTTTCTGGGTATAAATGCGATAGTTGTCCATCTATAGATGAAACCATTTACTAACTGAGCTTTTTTCTGGTTTCCTGATTGGTAGGCAACAATCTCTTTGTATTCTGCTTCTACACTATAACGATATGTTCATTTTTGCAATATTAGTTGCATATACTCTCTTTTAATATAGAATAATCTTTACTATCAAATGTTTCCGGTTGTTTATTTGAAGGCTAACTATTAACTATCTATTCTACAAATGGCAGGAATGAATAAATATGCAATAAACAATATATATTTTGGGGCCTAGTAGGCTACATTATGCGTTAGTTAGTCGTTTGATGGCGTTGATTCAGGATTTTTTTTGCGTCAAACCTGCTTATTTGTTAAGAAATAAAATGAGTTGTATATTAATTGCTATCAGACTATGTGAATAAGATCGTGTAAGCACGTATAGTTTCCACATGAAATATGTTGGGACGAAGTGGTTGCTCATGAATTAGCAGTAGGCGGTCAGGATAAACGATAGGTATGGGCAAACGCAACCAAAATGTAAATGCATTAATGTTTTCGTTCACAACTGAAGAGTCGAATAAAAAAGATAAAAAGCTATCAAAAGCGCTATGTTAGTAGACATCAGGAAGATTCAGCTGCTTTAATAATTCCAAA